TGCTCTTTTCTCTTAAGCTGGGGTGGAAAGGATGTGAATATCAGTTAAGCATAGGATTCTCAGTGCAAGGCAGCCACGTATCATCGGCTACTCTAGCGTGGATTCATTAATTAAGCCACAGTTTCTCACCCTCATATTGAAGCTTACTGTCTAAACATCCACATATACCCCACCCACCCCAAAGCTGCTGAACTGAGCATGGCTACTCCATGAAAGGATGTTTGTGTTATGTAGGAATAATTTAAATGCCAGAGTTGGAAGGAGACAAGTGACAGCCATAGCACAGGCTTGGGATCGGGCTGTGCAAGCAGCAGGCGAGCTAGAACATAGAACCCACAGCATTGGAACAATAGAGTTGGAAAGGACCTTGGAGGTCTTCTAGTCCAGGGGTCACCAAATGCTGGGCCATGACCCAATACCAGAGCACCCACCGCTTGTTTGGAATTGGGCTGTGTAAGTGGTGGGAGAGTATGTTCACCTGCTACTCGCAAGAACCATCCCATCTCCACCACCCTTCTGCCACTGCTGCTTACCTGTCCGTAAAGCCAGAAAGGTTAGAGACCAGAGGTGGGTTCCTACCAGTTCGGCCCAGTTCGGCTGAGTAGGTAGTAAGTTGACCTGCCACACCCCCAAACTGGTTCTCTGAGTGGTGCCGTAAGAGCCACCATCTTGGTTTTTTAAATACTGCGCATGCGTGGATAGTGCGCATCAAGTGCGCGCACACAGTGTGTCCCTGGGCGAACCGGCAGTAGCAGCAGCCAGACGCCACCCCTGTTGGAGACCCCTGTTCTAGTCCAACCGCCTGCTCCAGCAGAAGCTCAGATTTATCTACTTCCATCTTTGCACTCCAACTGTTCTCTGTATCAGCTCATCATTTCTATTATGTTAGAAAAGGGGAGTCAAGCTCAAGACCTGTGGGCTGCATCCAGCCTGTGAAGTGTTTAGATCTGGCCCACAGGGCCGCCCAGGAAACAGTGAAGGACAGGCCTGCGGTGCCTCTGCCAGTGAAAACAGAGCTCAGGAGGGCTGCATGTAGCCCTCTATTTTTGCTGGTAGGGGTTTGCAGCAAGACGTCACAGCCAAAAATGGAGCTTGGAAGCCTGTTTTTGCTGGCAGAGTGCTCGGGCTGCCACAGAGTGATGTCAAGCCCACCCTGGCCATGCCCACCCCGCCCCCCTGAGGTCAAACACAACCCCGATATGGCCCTCAATGAACACCCCTGTGTTACACCAAAACTCTCTTCGCCATCTCTCTGAAATATTCACTTTCACATTTTTGCTTAATTTAAATAAAGGTACAATTAGAATTGCAAGAATTAAATGGAATGTCCCTCAGTATCCCTCATGCTAAGTCCATTTATAGCAGAGCAAGCACCATTTTAGGGCAGAACAGATTATGTATTTTAAAGGCAAAATAATAATTGCGTAGATGCCTAGCCAGTTATCCTTCACTTAAAAATTGTTTATAAAGGAAGAAAATAAAATTGAGTGAAAACCAACTTCAGCCTATGTGATTCAAGGCATCCAATGGTTGGGTGATCTTTTAGGGTTAAATCATAACTATGCTTTCTGGATTCAGCTGCAGCTGCACAACTATCTATTGGTCTAGTGATGTCATCCACAACTTGCAAAATTTTCTGGAATCTGTTAGAAGCACAAAAGACAGAAGAGGATAAAGCATCATAACAGTTAGAAATACCACGTCTGAGGCCAGTATAGAGAGTGTTGCCAGAGGAATAAGTTCCAAATTTGCAGTATCTTGCTTTATAAGAAGCTGTTGAATTTCTTTCTTCAAAGTCTATTATTATTAGAAAAGAATATGCACCACTATAACTTTTAGTAAAATGGGTTTGATTAAAAGAAAAGCATATAATTTTCAATAGTGTGTGTATAACCCTGGTGATTTTGTTCAGCCTATCAGTTTTCATATCAGAGGCTGGAAGAAATTTCAGCAAGCTAAAACTCACCAGAAACTAGGCATTCAGTTATTGGGCAAGAACAGTTAAGCTTCCTGGCTCTTTATTGGTCGAGTGCGAACTTGCAAAATAAATTCAGTTTAGGGAGATACGGTAATTCATGTCTCCGTGATGGAAAAGACTGGAAAAATCAAGTTGAACATTAATTGGCTTTTTAAAAAGTTGCTTATAGCTGTGTTGATTTATTGGGATTCAGAATAAAACAAAGCATTTACAGAACATCTCCATTAGAATAAAAATATTGACAGGATAATAATATTTGAGGGACCAACAAGACATGTCAGACTGGTCAGCAAATTTTGCAGAATTCTTTTTCAAACTGGATGTTGTACTAAACAAACTCATTGTGGCTAGTTCAACACAATGCAATGCATGCAGTCTTGTGCAGGGAATGGGCTCATGGTGTATGTGGAAGAGACCCGCACTGAAAGTTTATCTTGCATGCAATATTTAGAAAAACCTGGGTTTGAGTCTCATGAAATCCTCATTTAAGTTTCTTGGGAGAGAGTGGACCTGTCCCTGCCTAGGTATTTTCCCACCTTCCCACCTACCCCACACACAAACCAGAGGTGGGTTCCTACCAGTTCGTACCTATTCGGTAGAACCGGTTCATCAAATCTACCGAACCGGTTAGAAGAGGTTCCATCAGTGGACCNGAGAGAGAGAGAGAAATACAGTAGGTAGGTAGGGAGAGAAAGAGGTAGAGGGAGAGAGAGAGAAATAGAGAGAGAGAAATACAGTAGATAGGTAGGTAGGGAGAGAGAGAGTTGGTAGGTAGGTAGATGTTTCCAGGTGTATTTATCCTTGTGCTGGAGAAGGAAATCGCTGACAATCTGCAGCCCCTAAGACTTTGTTTCTGCTGGCACAGCACTTGATCAATGTAATTCTCATCAATCAGTTAAAGAGCTTTCCAAAAGGAGGGGAAAAAAGTTTTTGCACTCTGGAAACCTCCCCAAAACAGCCTATTTTTCGCAAAAATGGGCCCTTTTTTAAAGGCGGGAATAGCCGGGGGGGGGGCTTGCAGAGTGCTTGTGAGGGGTGGGGGCCAAAAAAGTGGAAAATTACCTGTTTTTTGACAAAAAATGCATGCATAGCCTTATAGAGGCTTATAGAGTGCTGCTGGGGATAGGGGGACAAAAAACAACTTGTTTTTTGCTCATTTCTGCTTTCCCCAGCCCCCAGGAGCTCTCTGAAAGCCTCCATAAGGGTACGCACGGCCATTTTAGAGAAGGGGCAGAGCTTTGGGAGGCAAAAAATGCTGTATTCGATGTATAAGATGCACCCAGTTTTTCAGCCTCTTTTTTGAGGAAAAAAGGTGCATCTTATACTCTGAAAAATACGGTATTAATTACCATATTTTTCAGAGTATAAGATGCCCCTTCCCCCCCAAAAAAGAGGGTGAAAATTTGGGTGTGTCTTATACACTGAATGTAGCCCCACCCACCCCAAACCTTTGGCCTGTGCCTCCCAGCAATTTACCTCTTTGCAGCAAATGAGGGCTTGCAGAGGCTTCAATAAGCTATAGCAATCCCTACAGCCTGTAACAGCTGATGATCGGGAGAAATTGAAAGTGAAACTTGCTGTTTGCTCAATGGCAAATTGCTGGGAGGCAGATTTTTTTTTTCCTTGTGCTAATCAGGCTGTTGGCTGCAAGGAGGTAATTCAACAACTAAATGCTTATAGAATGTTCATATTATTAGACTTATTTTTTAAGACTGCTTTATTATTATTCTAATATATATATATATATATATATATATATATA